GGGACGTTCCCAGTGCTGCCGTGGCAGACGTGGCTCAGGGGTGATGGGAAAACCTTTGGCTTTTTTACAGCACTGAACAGACCCGTGGTGAACACGCAGCAAAGCAGCATCTGGAAAGCCAGTGGGAAGCGAGGGAAAAGGGGAGAATCTTTACTGCATGTGAATGGAACTGTTGGCTTAAAGGCAAAATGTCCCTGGGACTGGCAGCTCCTGCCCTCAGCACCGTCCCGACAGTGCTCAGCACTCGGAGCCAGAATCCAGGGTTTTTATTCTTGTTGCTGATGATGAGGTCAATGTATGGCTTATGGTATCATGGAATCAGGATGGTTTGTGTTGGAATGGACCTTAAAGCCCATCCAGTGCCACCCCCTGCCACGGGCAGGGACACCTTCCACTAGCCCAGGTTGCTCCAAGCCCTGTCCAACCTGGCCTTAGACACTTTTAGGGATGCAGGGGCAGCCACAGTTTCTCTGGGCAACCTGTGCCAGGGCCTCCCCACCCTCACAGGGAAGAATTCCTTCCCAATTACTAATCTAAACCTACTCTGTCAGTTTGAACCCTTTTGCTGTCACTCATTGTAAACAGTCTTTCTTCTTCAGCTCCTGGAAGGCCACAATCAGGTCACCCCAAAGCTTCTCTTCCCCAGGCTGAACAATCCCAACTCTCTCAGCCTTTCCTGCTCCATCCCTCTGACCATCTTGGTGCCTCCTCTGGACTCTCTCCAGCAGCTCCATGTCTTCCCTGTGCTGTTCCCCAAGGCTGGAGCAGCTCTGCAGCTGTTAATGGCAAGTGAGCTCTCCAGGCGTCCCCAGAAGGTTTGGAATCTGTGGTCTGAGCGGAGAGGAAAATAAAAGGGAATGCTGCTAAAATTATCCCTTGTGTTAGAAGCAAGTGGGAAGGGCTGGGGGAGCTCTCCCAGGGGTTAATGTGCCCCCTCTCACCTGTCAGGGTCCCTGCTGTGGATTAAACAAACTGTAGGAAATGTCAATGGCAACTGAATAAACAACCTGTGTTTGAACAGTGTCGGCTGAATAAACGACTGGGCTGGTGGCAGCCACTGGAGAAGGGCTCTGTCAACACCAGGAACACTCCAGCCTGTAAATAGGGAGGTTTGGGAGTGTACTATCAACATCTGTCAGGTTATGGATTTGTCCTGTATTGAAAGGGAATATCAAAGAGGCAGTGGGGATGCAGGACAGTTCAAACACGGCCCACACGGCCACGTGGGGCTGCCTTTGTCAGGTAAGACCTGTCCCTCCCCCAGGGAAAATCACCTCTGGCCAGTTGTAAATGTGTGTTTGAGAACTTACTTTGGAGAAATATCCCTCATTTTTGAAGCTTGTCAGGAAAGAAATGAACATTTATTTTCCTAAGCCATTATTAAGCCTGTCTGTAGGATGGAACCATTCAGGTACCCCTACCTGATCTCCAGGAGAGGCTCTGAAAGCTAATTAACTAATTAACTAGAGCAAATCCCCCATTAGGTATTCAGAGAAGGTAACACTGGCAGAAACCAACAATGAGGGCAAACAATTAAGCAGATGGACATTTCTTCAGGTGACTCTGGGATTTGCAGTGGGAAGTGGCTTTGAAGGCAAGGGAGTTTTGCCATTTATTTGAACAGAGCCAGGATTCCACCTGGAGATTTTGAGGCCAATGGGGACCATGGAAGCACCCAGGGTGACCTCTTGAAGCACCTGTGTAGTGCAGGGTAGAACTAAGATCCCTGCACTAACTAAGAGAAGAGTTTTAGGATGCAAATCCAGGAAGCTTGGGTGAAGGTGGCCTTTGATTATGACCATCCAACCCTTTAACTGCTGTGTTTTTTCTTGTTCCTCATGAAGGTGAGGAAAAAAAAGGTTTACACTGTGCCCTCAGTCTAACATGGCTGAGAAAAGGGTAGTTTGAACAAAATCATTGTTTTCTGTACCATGATACAAATGGTTTTTAAAGCTTACAGTCTTATTTTTAGGACTGACAATACACAGCTCTTTATTGGCCCACAAAAAAAGTAAAAATAGATGGATGGGGGTTGTGCAGATGTATGTGAATAATTCTTGGCAAAACCTGTTCTTATATTCCTCAACTGCTACCTCTTAAGGCATTTCACTCTTTCTCTTATTTCCAGTTACACGTTTTGCTGCACTTAATCTTTTTTTTTTTATTTTATATGAGATCATTCTCAAATATTGCAGTTTGGAAACGGTTTTCCCGGTGCTATTTTTTTTCTTCATTTTTTTTCCTAAAGCTTCTTGAGTGTCTTAAATATTATTTCCATGGCTGCACATCAAATGGATGCCGAGAATTAACGATTTCTGTGTCCTCAGTGCTTTGCTGCTGTTGTGCTGCAAAGCACATCTGAGGAATGTTTTCCTCTTTAACTGGCTCCTCTTCTGTTCACACATACAGGTCTCAAGAGCTGAAACTTGCAGCAGGTTTTGGAGGCAGCCAAGAAGGAACTTTAATGGCTCTCCTGGAAGTCGTTCAAAAACCACTCCCCCTGACTGAATCGGACACTCTGGAGGGCCCCAAAAGCCATTTCCAGGCAGGAATAAGGTAAGGGATGATAACTGGAGTGCTCAAGGCCTGCATCAGGAATGGGTTTTGGAAGATGACATTAAAAAACTTTGAAGTGTAACTTTTTGCTGTACAAAAAAAAAAAAGTTTTTAAATCCTGAATTTCCTGGGTCGGTTCTTTTCTGTGTTGGTTTGGGCCCAGCTGTTTTACTCTGCTCTGTGGCTCCCCAGAAACTCTGGGAGCCAGCCACCAGGTCAGATATTCCCCAAGGTGTGAGAATGATCGTCCTATGCTCAAAAAGAGTAATAATTGAAAAAAATATTTCAAACTCCAGCAAAAACTGGCCCTGTGTGCCCCTTGGAAAAGCTCCTCTCTCCCACTAACCCAACCTGGGCTCCCTGTGCCTCCTGCCAGGGTCTCCCTGGTGTTCTCCAGCAAAGGACAATTGTCCTGCTGCCTCAGCAAATCACTGAATTTCTCAGAATCTGAGGTGTTCTTTACATTTGCATACTTTTCCTATTCTAATAAATCCAGCCTTGATCAAATCATCCCACCAAGCTACCGGGAGCCTCTATTTATTACCCATGTGCAGCAGACACAACATTCTACCAGAACACACTGAAATCACAGCCTATTCCCTGCAGGAATATTCTAGTTCCTGCTCAAATCTGAATTCTTAAGCACTATTTCAGGCTTCTTCCTTTCAGGACCACCTTACCTTTAAGCTCTTGAACGATTTCATTCGGTGATTTTTTTCCCCCCCAAGTTAATTGTTCTCACCTTTGATTTAACCTTTCATCTACTGCACCCAAACCTTTTTCAGGACACAACCCCTGAAGTTATTGCTCCAAAAGTTGGACTCCAAGGTTACTTTTGCCTCCCAGGTCGCACTCCTTTGAGGGTTTATTAACAACGTGGCCTCAGGAACACTTAACGAGTCAATCATTAACTGGATATTAGAACATGTGGAAGTGGCTGCTGGGGGTAGGACAGCCCAAGAGGTGGGAGAGAGGAGCTTCAGGCACTGCCCACAGCAGGGCATTAGTGTTACAGTGGGGTTCTAATTCCAGCTCTTTGGATATAAGGGCTCACCTTGACCAGCTCAGGGTGACCTTTGTTGGTGGCCGGGCCTGTCCTCAGCAGCACAGGAATCCTCAGGATTTCCCTGACACCAGGAGTTTATAAATTTCCTGTTTGACTTTGCCTTGCTCTCGCCTTTCCCTTGGTTCCAAACTCCACCTTTGAGCCGGGCACGTTATCCTGGAGTTCTTTGTTTTGGTGCAGTCAGCATTCCCTGGGCATCCTAATTATGGGTGCTCGTGGGGACAACCAGGACAGCTCTCCTTTCCTCTCCCAGAGACCTGGATGCTGGATATCACTGAGCAGGAATGGGAATGATCCCCATCCCTTGTAAAAGTGAGCATTACAACCCAAACCATTCCAGGATTCTGTAGCCTGGGGAGTGAGGAAAGTGAATCTATAGGAAAAACAGGCTGGGTTAGTTGTTTTACTGCCTTTCTCCTGACTCTGACTGGGACAAACCTCTTGGGGTGTTTCTGGTCTGTTTGAGCTCCAGATGAAAAAAATTATGATTATTCTCTCTTCCCACATTACCTGGTCAAGGCAAGTGTCTTTGTTCTGCAAGTGGCAAAGAAAAGATGTATTCTTTTCATTTTGCATACAAGGAGGTTACTTGGTAGAGAAAGAATTGTTCCCTTGGATTGTTTCCATCTCTGTGTCCTTAAAACTCACTTTTACTGTGTTTCATGCTTTGCCCAACTTTGCTGCCTCTGTGCTATTGTTCCTCATGCCCTTTACAGTGACTCTTAGTATTCAGGCTCTACTTGAAAGCTTCCTGCTAAATCTGAGAGCCCAGAATGCCCTTGCATGAGTGTTTCTACACCTCTGGGAGAAGTGTCCAGGTGCCATATGGGCTTGAAAATCAAGGCAAACTGTTTATATACTTTGTGCATGCAGTCAGTTTTTATAAACCTGTGGAGTGTGTGTGTGTGTTAGCTCATCCTTACAGAGCTCTGGACCCCCCTGGTCTCCTACCTGCATTCTCAAGACTCATTCTTAGCCCTGGGGAAAAAACTCTGCCCACTGTGTTGACATCAGGAGAAGAGGTAAATACAGAACACTTCTGAAAATGTTGGCTCCTCTGCTCTCTGCTGCTGCCATCCTTGGGGATGTACTGCCTCCACTAGCTGGTTAATTCTTTCTTAAAAGTCTTTCTTGTAAAAAGATCAATGTCTGTCTCCTTCAACTTGCTCCTAAAATTTTAAACAGAAAGAATTATCCAACAGCACAAATTTAAAAAAGCTATGAACCCCAGCAAGAAGTTGACTGGTGTTCCCTGCGAGGGGCTGTTGCTGCTGAGTGGGATCCTTGCTCCAGAAGGAGAGCTGGAAAAAGTATTATGACCTTCTGCCATGGTGACTGAGGATAGAAACATTCTGAATTCCAAACTGGAGCGGATACAAAGAGCAGCTCCACTTGCAGAGCCTCCTCCAGGGCAGCATTTTCTGTGTGCCCTTGGTCAGGAGAGGAGCAAACCCGAGTTCAGTCTCTCCCCTTCAGCTGCTGCTTTGGGCACAAGAACTGATGCCACAGTGCATTAAAGGCAGTGGAGGAATGTATTGCATTTTGATATTTTCACTAGTTTAGAGTGGTTTGCTGCAGCAGAGAGATTATTAGGAAGCTCCAAGGGGCATAAAGAGATTCAGCTGCACCAGGTCCTGCTGCTACAACAGCAGGGCTATGGCTGTGCTGAGAGCTGGAGGGTGCTGTTGTCATTGCTTGGGGGCTTTTAGGAGGGTTTTGCCACCTTTTTTTTTATTTTGCCATCTTTTTTTTCCCCTGGTTCTGCCAGAGGACTTACTTTTAATGCCTTCTCAACATCCCTTTTAGCAACCCTCGTTGTAGGTGCAGTGACCATCCTTGGTCACAGCATTGTGCTGGAGCCATGTGGGTTTTTGGTTCAGTTTGGTTTTTACATGCTGAAAATGGCCCAGGGAGTACTGGTGGATCCCTCAGTTTGGATGACAGGAATGAAGTAGTCCCTTCAGCTCTTCACAACACGCAGGCTTCTGTTAATGATTAAGTTTCCTGAAGACCTGATTTCATTAGACAGAGTCTCCTCACACTCTGTGCCCATTCTCATTAGCACAGTGATTTTTGAACTCTTTCTAACGACTTCAGGAATGTTCCCATGGTGATGCTGGTCCCCTGGGAACATGAGCAGAAGGCTGCAGGGACCTGATGCTGGTGGTGGGGTCTCCAAATCCCCTCACCCAACAGCCGAGGATGCTGCAGCTCCTTTTCCAGGTGTGGCCAGGGAGCAGGACAGGGCTGGGGGCACTGTTCCCCTCACTAGGTCCCTGGGACTCTGCCTGCCCATCTCCCTCTGTGCTCCTCTGGGTGTGTGAGATGAGTGTTCTATAAAGCTCAGATTCATAATGCAGGCTGAGCGCCTTTGCCTTTGACACAACAAGAGGAAACAGCATCAAGCTGTGCCAGGGGAGGTTTAGATTAGTTACTAGAGAAAATATTTTCATGGAAGGGGTTGTAAAACATTTGAATGGACTGCCCAGGGCAGTGGTGGAGCCACCATCCCTGGAAGTGTTCAAAAACAAGTGAATGTGGCACTTGAGCACATGGTATGGTGGTGATGCTGAATTGATGGTTGGACTTGATGAGCTTAAAGGTCTTTTCCAACCTTAGAAATTCCATGAATCTCTGATTTTATCACATAACCAAACAGTCTGTGCAGGGATGCAGAGCTGTCCCCCCCAGGATGTCCATGGTCAGGGTGGGGACAGTAAATGGTTGAAGACTCAAAGCCCTGTCTGGAATTCCATTGCCCAAAGAGTTACAACCCCCTGGCCTTTCTCAGCTGCTCAAGTCATTCTGTAACCTTCAGCAGCTCTTGCTGCCTCTCTTCTTGGACTTATCTGATCACTGAGTGAAAAGATTTAGTGGAAGAAGTGTCAGGAGCTGCGTGATCATTGCACACACCCCAAAATCTTTCACTCTAAGGGGCTGTGGAAGCTCAAGCTCCACCAGCAGCATCAGGAACCCAAAGCTGACCAAATGTTTTCTCTGCTTTTCTTGCTGTGCTTTGCTTGAGTAATCAGGACAATTCTCTGTTAGGCATGAAATGAAAGTAAATGATTAGAATAAAGATGTGCTGAGCTACTTGACAAGGCTTGAGTACAGGGTACAGAATCTGTGGGTGTTTGGCACAGCCCCAGCACTGCAGATATTTTAGCTCCTGCTTATTTTTGATTCCGTTCAAATATGACTTACCTTAAAAAAAAAAAAATTAACTGCAAAGCATCTGCTGTTACACAACAGATATTCATGATGGAAAAACGGCATGAGAAAGCTCCAGGCATGAGCTGAAGGGCTCCAAGGGTGGCCTGAATTCTTCAGGCTTCAACTCCTTCTGGAGTGCCAGGCAGTCACTGGTTGTGTACTGGGTGGTTTGGTCTGGCACATCACTCCTTTGGAAGGAAGGAACCTCCAGAAAGGCTCCTGAGAGGCACGAGCCATACTGTCACTGCTTCCACTCCCTCACAGCTCTCTGTGGACTTCAGAAGCAGCTGGGATGGGACGCTGAGGAAAGCAGCAGCATTCCCAGAGAGACTTACACATGGAAATCCTTCCTAGGGATAAAGCAGCGGAGCACCCCTAGTGCATCTCTTCCCCAAATTTTCAGGATCCCTGCAAGATGACACAGGGATCAGACCTTGATGGGAGCTCAGGGAGCGTTTGGACAATGCTCTCAGGCACAGGGTGGGATTGTTGGGGTGTCCTGTGCAGGGCCAGGAGTTGGACTGGATGATCCTTGTGGATCCCTTCCAATTCAGGATGTTCTGTGATTCTGTGATTCAGAAAGCAACATTCCATATTTTTTGGCATCCTGAGGGATACATGTACTTCAGGCAAACATTTCTCTCACTCTGCTTCTGGCTAAAATAGTAGTGGAAGGGCCTTAGTGCTGTGACAGAGAGCCCTTCCCATCCTGCCCATCCCAGGATGCGTTTCAGTGCAGATAAGTGGGAGATATTCCTGGATCCTTTGCCAGAAGCACGCAGGGAGTCTGGTGGCAGCAGAAACAATCTGTAGCTCTCCAGGGTTCCTGGTTAAGTTGTAAGTCCGTTTCCAAACGTTGTTTCCCAGCTGCAGGGCCAGGCTGCAGGCATCACATCTGCACCAAGAGGAAGGAATGACTCGGGAGCGTGGGCTGCTGTGAAGTATCCGGGCAGGAATAGAGGTGAGAGGGGCAAGGGTTGGGATAGTGAGTGCTCACAGCCAGCTGGGATGGGTGGAAGTGAAGAAACGCTTCAAAAGGAGCTTTAGCATCAAAGCATCATTTTCCACATTGTAAATTCAGCTCCAGGATGTCCATGGTGTCGCTTGTCCTGAAGATTCAGATTCCCAGGGCAGTGGGCACAGCCCCAAGGCTGCCAGGGCTCAGGGAGCGTTTGGACAACACTCTCAGGAACAGGGTGGGATTGTTGGGGTGGCCTGTGCAGGGCCAGGGGTTGGACTGGATGATCCTTGTGGGTCCCTTCCAACTCAGGAGGTTCTGGGATTCCTGTGCCACATCCCAGGGTGCCAATGTCTGCAGCAGAGGGATCTGTCACTGAACCCCGGGCACCCCCAGCACGATGGCACTGCCAGCAGCACCAGGAGCATGGGGAGGGTGTTTCAGTGCAGCACCAGAGCTGTGGGGAAGGTGCACAAACAGAACAGTGTTAACAGGCCCAGCAAACTGCAGCTTGGTTGTTTTCCTGCCTTTAGGATACACAATTCCGGAAAAAACCCTGGCTTTAAGTGTTCCCAGTGCTGCAGTGGGGTGAGACCCCGAGCTCTGCAGACCCAGAGCTACCTCCTGGTGACAGGGAACTGTCAGATGACAAGTGCAGTGGTGGTGACAGTAGATGCTGAAGAGAACAGTGACAATGATGAGCCTTTTCATGAAAGGAAGGACCCACACCCCTTTCATAATAAGAAAAACTCTTCAGTGTAGCCCACACATGTTTCAGAGGCAGCTGCTTCGCCGATTCACGAGCCAAAATGTTCTATCAGTCCACACCTACTGAGCAATGCCAGTGGTGGGAATTAGGAGAAGGTTACATTTTGGTTCATAGCCCTCCTGAAAAGTGGGATAAACAACGATCTTTATTCCCTTGGGAGGGAAAAAAATAGTGCAAATTCTGCCAGCAGGTTTGTAATGTGAGAGTGCTTTCCATGGTGTATTTTCACAGCTGTCTTATCAGCTTCCTAAAATGAATCAGGGTGGAGCAAACAGTTTAGGAATGTCATGAAAAAAGGGTTTGGAGCTTTGCTGTGGTTCATGATAGTGATGCCCTCTTGGGATAGCACATCAGAGCTGGAAGATCCTCCTGGAGACAGGGATAATGCTTTTAAAATATTCCCACTTCCAATTCAGGAGCTGTTGTGTCTGAACTCTGGATGGAGATATCCCCTTCCCGTTTTATGGTGGTTTGACTTGGAGCTGATTTTGGACAGGGGGTACTTCCCCTTTTCCTGCTGAGATTCTGCAGAAGGTGGTGGTTTCTGTCACTGTCACTCGTGTCTGTGGGAGCTGAGGGATCTCAGAACTCTGTGGACCTGGATGTTCACTGAGATCATCAGCTCTGTCTAAACCAAGCACCAAAGGTCGTGTCTTTTCCCTCCCTGAGGATGGGGGGAGAACCCTGACCCAGTCCAGCAGGTTCAGTGTCATAAACTAAAACCCAGAGAGAGGCAGGAAGCATTTCAGTGCTGTCACCTCACTCTGCTGTGCCTTTTCCCCCTCATCAGCGCTGCTGTTCAGGTAACAACACAACTGCTCAGCCCAGTGCTCTTATGGAGCACTTTGGATTTTGGAGCAGGCAAGAAATAAACCCAAATCTATAGTGATTTGCTGTTCAGGTGGCTCAGGGACGTGCTCTGCTGGAGCAGGATCTGACGTGTTCCTGAGCACGGTGTGGGGTTAATTCAATACACGGGGCTGCTTTAGCAGCTTCACTAAATACCATTTATTCCATCACCACGGAGAGGTACAGTGGATTTGACAGAAACAAATGGAGTGAACCAAAGCTTTTTCCCTTCATAAAAATGACTATGATTAAACTGTGCCCTTTAAAATACAGCCCATTAAATCAACTTCTCAAACTTCTGGCGGGTTTACTCTAAGCAGCCTCACTTATTTTGTTGCCTTTTACGTTATTTATTATTGCTTTAGAACTGGTGTTTTTCTGAGGATTTCCTGAGTCTGGTTGTGGAGGTGAGTGATCTTATCTTCATAGAATATCCTGAGCTGGGAGGGATCCACAAGGATCATCCAGCCCAACTCCTGGCCCTGCACAGGACATCCCAACAATCCCATCCTGTTCCTGAGAGGATCATCCAAACCCTCCTGGAGCTCTGGCAGCCTTGGGGCTGTGCCCACTGCCCTGGGGAGCCTGGTCAGTGCCAACCACCCTCTCGGGGAAGAACCTTTCCCTGAGATCCAACCTGACCCTGCCCTGGCACAGCTCCAGCTGTTCCCTCATGTCTTTTCTCCCTTACAGGTACCTCTTTGTCTGCTGCAAAGAGTTTCAGTGCCCAACCAATGCATGTGCAAAAGAACATCCATGATTTCCCTCAGCTTTATGAGTTAAATGTTTTAATGAGATATTCACGATTATCTGGGAGAAATGTTTAGAGTAATTTTCCAGTGATCTTTAAAGTCCCTTCTGACCCAAATGCTCCCTGTCCTTGCAGGTCTCCATGGATGGTGGCATCTGTCATCACACACAGGCTATTCCAATGCTTAACTATTCCTGCAATTAGAAAATCAGTCCTGATTTCCAATTGGAATCATCCCTATTCAGTTTAAGCCCTTGTCCTGCTCACTGCAGCCACAGAGAACACGACAGTTTCTCCTCTCTCCTCTTGACCTTATACCAACCTGAAGGTGGTTGTCTTTGGGCTAAAGATGTTCCTTCTCTTGGGGAACAAGAGGAGAGGTGGGATTGACAATAAATGACAGAAACATCTTTATTTCTGGTGCTTCAGCCTGGACAGGATTTATTAGTAGCAGTAATTGGAGTAATAAGAGCAGTGAGGGGAGTTTTTTGGGTGCAAATTTGTCTGAACTCTGCAGAAGCAGCAAAAGTTAAAAAACCCCCAACAACTAACAACCAGCAAAGCTTTTCTAATTTTTCCAGCTATAACAGTTGTCCTGCCAGTGAGGCTTGTCCTGCCTGTGCCTCGAGACCATCACAGCAAAGCACAGTCCATATATAGTATCCTTCCAGAACCCCGGAACATAAATTACAAAGGATAATGTGCTGGAATTTTAATTACTGGACGCAGACAAACTGGAAATGCAGTTTCCAGCTGCTCCCAGTGTATCTTTATCTTGATCCAGGACTATAAACATCACATGTAATCCCAAATCCTTACAGTAGCCACTGCACAGAGGCTATAAATAGCTGTGCCAGAGCTGCAGAACATGGTGTAAAGCTTTTCCTACCCCAGTGACCGCTGGTGTGGTGGCTGTTTGCAGCTTCCCAGTGATTGCTGAACTCGGACAGACTGAGCTAAGTTGGTCCTGGCACAACTGAAAGGGGAAATACCGCAAGCTGGTCTAGTGAATATATGAATTCTGGTCTTTTTTTTTCTACAAAGAGCATGTTAATTCTGTGACAGGAGCAGAGCAGAAGGTCTAATTACAAAGATGTTCACAACTGAGGGCTGTTCACCCTCTGATGGGGTTACCCCACTGTGCCAGAGGTGCAGTATTTCAGTCAGAGTGTTACCTGGGTTACATGCAGCCATAAAAGCTCCTGCATTGCCTCTCAAGAGGAAAATCATAGAATGGTTTGGGTTGGAAGGGACATAAAGCTCATCCAGTCCCACCCCCTGCCATGGGCAGGGACACCTTCCACTAGCCCAGGTTGCTCCAAGCCCCGTCCAACCTGGCCTTGGACACTTCCAGGGATCCAGGGGCAGCCACAGCTTCTCTGGGCAACCTGGGCCAGGGCCTCCCCACCCTCCCAGGGAAGGATTTCTTCCCAATATCTAATCCAAATCCACCCCCTTTCATTTTGAAGCCATTTCCCCTTGTCCTATCCCTCCATGCCCTTGTAGGACAAGAGGGAAAGGCTTTAAACTTCAAAGAGGGTAGCATGTGGTGAGACTGGTGTTGTTGCTAAGCTATGATCTGCATAAATGTCCTCTCTTTCAAAACTGCAACTGGAGTTTGACATACAATGATGTTCTTGTAAGAACTGGTGTTTTCTTTTAAACAGCCACGACTGTGCAGTGATTTGTGTGTGTTGGGTCAGTGGATTAAGGACTCTCCACTGCCTGTTTTGGAAAAGGGAACATGAGAAAGCATCAGGCAGTGTTTGAAAAGTCTTAGAGCAGGAGGAAACACTGGCTAGAGAGGAGTTGTGACCATCCTTCTGCAAAGCACCTTCTGCTACCAAACCAACCTCCAACACCCCGTGTAAAACAATTTCACAAGGTCGTTTGTTTTTGCTGAAAATTTCTTGAGGACATGGGACAAGTCCTTCCACTGAGGCCTCTGATCCCACAGAATTAAACCCTCCAGGAGGTCACTAATGTCCTGCTCTGACACACCTTGGCTCATGGTTCATCTCTTGGCCAAAAGCTTTTTAACTCTGTCTGAGACTGTGGCTTTTTCCTCCACTCCCACCTGCTGTGGGGGGAAGTGGGAATGGCTGGGAGCTGTTTCCTGTGCAGGGAGGACTGTTTGGGGTGGGTTTGAGTGTGCTGTGGCCTCTCTGTTTCTACAGAGCCCTCAACACGCACGTTCTCAGGGTCACAGGGAGTTTTGGGTTTGGTTCTACGGATTTCTGAGGAGACACAGCTCTGCAAGCACGAAAAGTTTTGTCTCTGTCATCTCCTACTACTGAAAGAACCAGAACCTGGGTATAAATTCTGAGTTTCCCAAAAAGCAGTTCCTTTCATGGTGCCTGGTCCCTCCAAGACAGGTGTATACAGGAAAATAAAGCTATTTATACTCATCCCATCACTCTTTTTCCTTCTCTGGAGCTGTTAGCAAGCCCCAATTTCAGATGTTGCTGAGATGAAGGGTAATGCTGGCATTAAAATGCAATGCTGGTGGTTGGAGAAGGGTCATAAAGCACACATTTATTTAGCTTTAGACAAACTACAGTCAGTCATCCCCAGCTCAAGGTGCTCTTGCCAAAAGTTGCAAAAATTAAAATGAAACAGCCAGAGAAACAGAAATCTCCCTTTTCTTCTTAAAAAAAAAAATCCAATCTATTTGTAAGTCCCCAGGCTACACAAATAACTTGCCTTTCATTAGTTACTGAGGGGATGGCAGGCCCTGTGTTCCCTCAGACTGCTGAAGTGTGAAGAAAATTAGTATCTCACATTTACGGGATTACACTTGGAATATTTTCTCCACAGGCAAATATTTCTTAGCTAACAAATATTCTAAGCAGTATTTATTTTTTATACGGTCACACTTTAATAGAGCTGATCTGGGAGATGATCTGGTGGTACAGATGATTTAAAGAGACCGAGTGTTTTTATAGCTTCCTGGAGGGATTCTGGCTGTTTAAAAGACAACATCTTGTTTATTACAGCCAAATTTTGCCTTTGCTGTTGTGCAAACCCCGTGGCAGTTTGCAGTACAAACACAAAGAGCTGATTGAGGTTTTATGGGAAGTTTTTGGCTCCCAGGTTCACCAAAGAGCTGTTTGAAGGAGGGGTTGTAACGGGAAGATCTAACAAGGTGTGGGATGTGACCGAAAAGGAACTTGAATTGGATTTCTGGTCCGAAGTTGGAATGGTGATCCCGAAATTCCCTCCTCACACCTTCAGACCTCAGTGAATCTTCAAAGGCTTTAAATGCTGTAGGTGATTGGTGCTGATATTCCTGAAATACCTGTAGCTGTGCCTGTGCCCAGGCATGGACTGACTCCAGCTCAGAGCACTGTGGGCAGGCTGCTGCTGTATTCCAAAGGAAGTGCAAACAGCTGGATCCAGGGGCTCAGCATTCCATGTGTCCCAGAGCAAACTCCCTGTGTTCCAGCAGGGTCTGGCTCCCTGCTAAGCCCAGGGGTGTCTGTCAGCAGTGGAGAACACGGATGATTTCTCCTCAGTCCTCTGCCCTCAGGATTTGAAACCCAAGGGGCGACTTGACCATCTTACACTGGTACATGGAGCCAGCGTGGGAAGCATCCATACCTGGGAGTCCCATGTGCCTCAGGAAGTCCTAAAGCTCCAAACACTATCAGGGGACACTTGGGCAACCTTTTTATACCCCTACTCGTGCACTTTTTGGCCACAGCCAGACAGGGCAGGGTGGGAAATGGGCCCTGCACGGTTCCACTGGAGTTCTCACCTGTGACCAACACAAGGTTTAGGTTGGACACCAATAACTTGGTTGACACTCTGGCTTCACTCGTCTCATGTGGAAGCTGGTCTTTTGCCATTATCTCATTCCCTTTGACTTCTTTTAGGTTGGACATCAGGAGGAATTTCTTCACAAAAAGGGTTGTCGGGCATTGGGATGGGCCAGGGAGGTGGTGGAGTCCCCATCCCTGGAGGTGTCCAGGGAACAACTGGACGTGGCACTCGGTGCTCTGGGCTGGGGGACAAGGTGGGGATCGGGCAGAGGTTGGGCTTGAAAGCTCTGGGAGGTGTTTTCCAACCTCAATGATTCTGGGATTCTCAGCTCTGTACTGGAAGCACCAGATCCTCCTTCCCTTTCACTAACCTGTGCCTTGAAATCTGTTTTCCTAGGAATGATATGGATACAGATATAAGCAGTTGACATCAGTTCTGAGAATATTTTTCTTGTAGGTGGAACTATTATTCCTCCTTGGAGCTGTAACAGTCAGTGATTTGCTATGCTAATAAGTTGCTGGAGGAAAAATGGGAATTATTCTGGCTATGAGATCCCCTCAGTCCATGTGGTTTAAAAAGACTAAAGGGCAGCAGAAGATAAGCAATTCCAGAAAGCATTTGTGCTGGAAGTAATGAGAGAGGCAGGAGGGTACACATTAAGAGGGAAATATTCCTGGAAGATTTCCCCCCTGTAATTTGTTGTTCCAGTGCTGGTTGCACTGTTTGCTGAGGTGCTGCTCTCCTGGGAAGACAAAACCCAGTGACTGCACTGACAGATGATGGGGGGGATATATCTGCACTCATTCTGATCCAAGATCAATTCCAGAAACCTGGCATCTTGTTCATCAACTCTCCTACAAATACACAACCCCCCCCAAACCCAGTGCTGCTGTTTTTGTTAACACTTCCCAGGTAGGTTTCTCTCTGTTGCAGTTTATTTCTTGTACAAGTCATTTTCTTGACTCACAACTGAAGATTACCCTGTTGCTTAATTTATTTGGTGATTAATTTGGCACTGTGGGCAGATGTGATGTAAAGCTCTTTACCATTCCAGGGTGAGATGGAGGCAAGCAATCTGCACCCAGGAGGTTTAACGAGGCATCCATCCCATGGGAGTGGAGATACTTTAATTTAATTAAAGGGAACATTTTGTACTGGACTAAAAAGATTATTTTCTTGACTAAGACATAAATATTAGTTTTCTTAAAGGGAAATGCCCAGATAAATAAACAAATTTCTGTTTACCACGTATACTTTGCTGAGCAAAAATAACGTTGATTTCTAGTTTGAAGAGAGAACCAAATTTCTGTCAGCATTCATGGGGCCAATTAAGCAATGCCAAGATGCTGATTGGATTGTTGGTTTCAATGTGTACCTTATGCTATTGAGGTAATTTAAGTAAATGTTTATATTAGCTTTAACACGTAATACAGCATTTCCTGCGTGTTCCTTTTGTCCGGGTCTTCAGCTGTGTCTGATCTCTCACAGGGGAGGAGGAGTAAAACGTTTTGGTTTCCAGGTATTATTCCCAGAAGTGTCCTTTTTAAAGCAGAAGCAGCGGAAGGCAGTGAGGGGTGTTGTCACAGCAGAGGTGCCTGGAGCAGCACAAGGGCACCGGGGCCATCCCGTTCCATCCCCTCGGGATGTGTCCGTGCCCCAACATCCCTTTGGCAGCCCTGGCCTAGAGGTCCCCGCAGGGGCAGGTTCAGCCCTCAGAAGCAGCTCAGGTGTCTCAGCCCTGCCAGAGGCGCTGACAGAGCCCGGAGCCACCTGAGGGCCCACAGAGCTGCCCCCGGGAAGTGTCTCCTGCTTCCTCCTTTGCAGGGCACCCTTCCCACAGCTCACAGAATCCCAGGATGGTTTGGGTTGGAAGGCGACCTTGAAGATCATCTTGTTTCAACCCCTCTGCCATGGGCAGGGACACCTTCCACTAGCCCAGGTTGCTCCAAGCCCCGTCCAGCCTGGCCTTGAATGCTTCCAGGGATGGGGCAGCCACAAATTCCCTGGGCAACCTGTGCCAGTGCCCCACCTTCACAGGGAAGAATTTTTTCCCTCTAACCCTTCCCTTTGTCAGTGTGAAGCCATTCCTCCTTGTCATGCCACTCCAGATCCCTGTAAATAGTCTCTCTCCATCTTTCTTGTCGGCTCCTTTCAGATACTGAAAGGCCACAATTAGGTCACCCTGAAGCTCCTCCAAGCTGAACAATCCCAACTCTCGCATCCTTTCCTCCCAGCAGAGCTGCTCCAGCCCTCTGACCATCTTGGTGCCTCCTCTGGACTCGCTCCAACAGCTCCATGTCCCTCCCGTGCTGGGGACCCCAGAGCTGGAGGCAGCTCTGCAGGGGGGTCTCACCTGAGCGGGGCAGAACCACCTCCCTGGCCCTGCTGGGGACGAGTCCAGGCTACCATCGGCTTCCTGGGCTGCGAGCGCACACGGCCGGGGCCCGTCCAGCCTCTCCCCGGGGCCCGTCCAGCCTCTCACTGGGGCCCGTCCAGCCTCTCCCCGCCCGCCACCGCCGCGCTCCCGCTCCATCCCCGCCGGGGCCCGCCCAAGTTTCTCGCGCTCGCCGGGTGCGGGCGCTGCTCCCCCGCTGCCGCCCGGGGCCGATCGCGGGTGTGACCGCGGCGGCCGCGCCAGGTACGGGAGGGAAGGGATGGGATGGGAAGCGATAGGAAAGGATGGGAAGGGAACGGGCGGCTCCGGGAGCGCCCGCCCTTTCCTCCCCCCAGCCCGCGCAGGTCGTGCCCGGGCGGGGCGCGCGCGCGCTTTGCATAACCACGCCCACCTCATGAATACGCGCTGGGCCACGCCCCCCCCTCTGCGCGCCCGCGGTGGGAGGGGGCTGGGAGCCGCGGGAGCGCGCAGGGAGCCGCGGGGGCGCGCGCGCCGCTTCCACCCCCCCACTTCCCCGCCCGCCCCGCCCTCCGCGCGCGCTCCCGCGGAAGAGGCGGCGGCGCGCTCGGAGCGACCGAGCGAGGGAAGCGGAGCGGGGCTGCGGGGAAGGGGGGGGGGAGTGGCCGGCGGGCGCTCCCCGGGGAGGCCGCGGCGGGCACGGACGGAGGGACGGACAGACGGAGGGACGGACGGACGGAGGGGGCGCTGCGGCGGGCGGGCGGTGAAGGAGCCGCCGCGGCGGCGCCGCCGGGGAGGGGCGAGCCCGGCCGCCCCCCTCCCCTCCCCTCCCCTCCCTTCCCTTCTCCTGCCCGTCCCCTCCCCTTCGGGCGCGCGCTCGCCCCGGCGGCGGCGGCTCCCGGCGATGCGGTGAGAGGAGCGAGGAGAGCAGGGAGGGAGGGAGGGACGGACGAGCAGCCGCGCTCGGTGAGGGGCCGCCGGGAGCTTCCCCCCCCCGCGTCAGGTAAGGACCGGCGGGGCACCGGGGGGGTGAGCGGGAGCGTGCGGGTGTCCCCCCGTGGGTGCGGGCTGCGGGGGGGACACATTCACGGCGAGCGGGCGACGCCCGGCGATGTGTCGGTGTCGCGGGGGGCCGGGGGGGGTTCGCGGCGAGACCCCCCCGCGGGCGGAGGAAGGGCTGGGGCGGGGTGGGGGGTCCCCCCCGGGGCTGGAGGTGCCTCGCTGACACCGCTCGGGATGCGGCGAGCGCCGGGAAAGGCGCGGTCGGTTGCGAGTCTCACCCCCCCCCCCAAATTCCGTCTCTTTTGAATGGGAAGCCGCCCGTTTTGTTTAGGAGGGGAGAGCGGCGCGGAGGTGAGCGGGGCCGGGGGTTCATCCCGCCCTGCGGAACCGCCGGGCTCATCCCCGCCGGCCCTCGCCCCGTGTTTACCGGGAGGTGCCGCAGGTACCGCACACGTGAGCGCGAACACACCCCGCGCTCGCCCCCCGCTCTGCGGGCACGGGGAGGGCTCGGCCCCCTCCCCCGAGCCTCCCCCCCCCCGAGGGGTGAGTAAGGCGTGTGTGGAGTCTAATGACACACCGCATCCCTCTCTGTTACACGCGTGGGTTGGCTGTTGGGGGCTAAGATGCAAAAAAGCCATGCGAGATGATGATTATGATGAGGCAGACGGAGCTCGGATGGGGCGTTCCGCGAGGAAAAGGCAGCTCCTCGTCCCCCTGTTTGTGTCGGGAAGTTCAGGGGGCGATGTTGGCGAGCTGGTTCAGGGGGTGATGCGTCGGCGTGAGTTTTTACACAGGTGAAAAAATAGCGCGAGGAAAAAGGGAATTAAATAAATCATGAAGGTTAATTAGCGCTGCTGGGGAGTGCGGCGGAGCCACGGCACGGGAGCGAAGGCAAATTCGTGTTGGGATTGGGAGGAGGAGAAGGAATACGGCGAACGTGCCATGGAGAAGAACAACATGGCCAGGAGACCCTGCCTGCAGCACAGCTCGGGCTGAGCCGGGAATGGTTCCTGCCAAGGGCTCAAGGGTGGGTGTTGTCTGGTTTTCTTATCTAGTCCTCAAAACGTGAATAGCAAACCTGGAAACATCCACTGCTGAGGTGCGAATCGGAAAGGAAAAAGGAGCTGGTGTAATAGGTGGCTTTCGGTGAGAATGTATTGAAGAGGATTTGCTGGCTGCGGTCACATGAGGCTTTTTATGGGTGGGGAGAGACACCTTAGATCATGGGTAGTTGGTGTGGAGGAATGTTTATCTAGGAAATGCGTGATGGCCCTGCAGTCGAATCGAGAAAATACAATATATTGCAACTTGCCGTAGTCAAAATCTCATTTTTTGGCTTTGCAAAGGAACTATCAGGTGGAACAAAAACGCAGTAGTGAAGATTTTAAACAGTTTGAGGTCTGTGGCCATTATGACTCTGGGTCTTCTAAGAAAATAAACTACTTAGAGTTGGGCTTCTTTTTTGTGGTAACTCGTGCTGAGGGCATCATAAATGCAAAAGTCTCTGTGTACTCCAAATTTGCCCTGATTTCCTTGGAGTGGAGAGGAGTGGCAGGGTCATGTCCTGTTTGGATCTTGGCTGTGGTCGTAGAATCTTGGAGCAGACTGGCCTGCAGTGTAGACTGGTAATTACAGTGTGAATTACTGGTTACATATTCAGTGTAATTGGCTGAGTAATATCATTTTAGAAAATAAACTCCTTATCAGTATTGATTGCATTGTGCCAATTCCTGTCTTGGTCTCTTCTCTCTGTCTTTTCCATTGGTTTTCCCATGATCCTGTGTGAGCTTCTGGGTTGTTTTTAACTGAAATACGTATTCTGACCAAAAATATGTCTTCTAAGGTACTAAGTTACCTCTTAACATTTCAGGTCACATATTCTACATTTACCTTCAATTAAACCTTTGGAAACCAGTGATATATGTGTTGATGTTGAGAAATCCATGAGTGTGCCTGGTATGTGCAGGGAATTTTTAAAAGATGAATTTTTTAATACATTACAGACAAGCATCCCTAACTTCCTGCTTGCAAATTCTCCTTTATCAATATTAATGGCCACAAATGCAAACTATGTAAGGCCCAAGTGTGGATCACACACAGCATTATGTAGTGTGTGAGCTCTTCAGGTTTGGGTTTATATATAAGTTTCCAGAAGAACAATTTAATGCAAGGCCTGCTTTGGGATGTATGAAGTTATTTATAGTATATCTTCGTTAGTTTATAATCTTATATTTTGTTTAATTTCAGGATGCTTGTTAAAATTTGTGATAGCATATCATATCTTTTTATTACGTAGCAAAAGGAAAACAATAAGAAGGCAGCCAGAAAACTCTAAAAACAACCCCTTGGTATATTAAAAAAGAAACCTGTGACTCTCCCAGCTTTGTGCATGGTTTTTCTCATTAAAAAAAGAGAAGGATTATGGCTCTTGTGTTCTATCTCAGTTTACCTTTTCTAGAGGTGGTTGAGCTTGTGATCAGCTGAGAGGCTGGTAACACCTGTAACCCCACATGGGTGCTGCATTAAAAAAATAATTTGCTTTCAGGTTTTTTTTACAAAAACAAAATCCCGCTTTCTTGTCTTTTTCACGTATACACATTGATTCTTTTCGACTTCTGAGGACGAATTTCCTTTCGAGCAGACGCGGCAAGATGATTCCGGGCGAGCAAATGGCTCTGAGGGTCGTTTCTTGCTGAGGCAGAGCTGATGGCAAGGACTGGTGCTGAATCAGTGACCTCTCCTCCCTGTCCTCCCACCCACGGTGTTGGGGCTCCTCTCTCTGGTCCTGTGTCAAACCCTTGAGCAGCTGCTGGGTGAACGACCACTCTTTATTTTGTGGAGTTCATTTCTCGCCGGATCAATAAACTGAACTTGACCTGGGGGACGTGAGGGTGGCAGGAGGAGGATGCAGGGGTGGGAAATAGCGGCTGGTCTGTCCTTCATGGCAGCCCTGAGCTCTGAGTGGTTGATGCCAGCTGGGAACTCGTGTCTGGAGTGTTGCACAAAGCCTTAGGATGGCACCTCACGGTGGACGTGGTTTATTTATGTTTAGTCCTACACAAATACAGTCTTCCAGCCTTTGTTACATCACTGATTATAACCCTTGTGATCAGCCCCATCAGTAATTTCGGGGTGTCTTGCTCTTTGTTTCCAATGTGATAAATATGTGCCAACCTGTAGGAATTCTTTCAGCATCCGTAGGACGTGCAGAAGCTCTGTGGTGACACAGGACATGGTGACATTACCAGTGAGGGCTGTGGGAGGTTTCCACACCATCAGTGGGAGCAGAGCTGAGCCTGCTGCTTGGTTGACTCTTGTGCTTGATGTCTTCATTCAAAACAAGGCCCCATATGAGCTACTGTGAGGAAACTTAACTCCATCCCAGTCCAAACCAGCCCAGAACGACACGTTTTTTGAACTTGAAGGTGGAGAATGTGCTCACTGGAGGTAAATTAGCATTTGGAGCTCACTGCACCTGCAAATATTTGATCCAGTGAACTGGATCATTCATCCCTGGTTTATTTTCCTACTGGGTTTTATGAGCTCTGAAAAATCAAATTCTAGTTGTGTCACTTAGAATGATTCCAGCCCTGTTATTGTATTGGGGCTAAAACGTAATAGTTTGGTTTATATTCATTTAAAAAGTAATTAATTTAAATACAAACTCTACATTGATTAGAGGAGATAGTCGCTGGTTTTGTGTACTTAGATCAGGAAGGGAGGAATTGAGAATTTAGAGCCCAGCCTTGGAATTGTCCCATGTGAGAGAGTTCCTTGAGGTTCTACTTCAGCAGTCTGGGAGGAAAGGATCTAGTTTAATGATGAGGATACTGGAAACACTGGAGAGGAATTTAGCATGGAATTGGCTGTGGGATTCTGATGGAGAGCAGGAGTTACTTTACTGGGTTGAGAATAAAAACTCTTTATGTTCTGGGTGCTGTGGCAATGGGGCAGTGGAGTTTCACCTCCTCAGGAGGAGAAATATTGGAATAATCTGAGTTTCCTGAGCACTCTGGATTTCTTCCTGGGTAGCACTTATTCCATATCTTTCCAAAATTTGTCAAATAACAGAATTTATGCTGTGGCGTGAGAAGCTCCATCTCGAAAAAAAACCTCTGGAAGAGAACATTAATTAGTAATGATAAAACATAAAAAGTACCTTGTGCTTATTTGACTCAAGTTTGGGTTTGTGCCACATTGCGTCATTGTTTGATTTCAAAGGAATCATTACTTATTCATGGCTTTTATAAAATGTGTGTAATGGTTGGGTTTGTGTGCGTTCTGCATTAAGCAGACCTTGCTCTTAAGTTTTGCTTCCTCAGTCATTTTTATAATATTTTATAAGCTTTTTCCTGCTCGGAGTGAAGGGCTCATTTACTAAAAACGTTGCTTTTTTTTTTTTTAATTTAAAATTTGAGTGTTTTTTTTCCCCCCTTCGTCTTCCACCGATCCCGCTGCTTTGCAAAGGTGAGAGTTATTCAGAGTTATATCAAGTTTAACCTGAGGTAGAAATCCTTAAGAGCTGATTTGACAGAGGCACATGTAGATTCTTGAGGAACACGCCGGATCCCGGTGAGTTCACGTTACTATTCCTGCACAGACAGGTCTCCACACGCCGGATCCGGGGCCCTGGTGCTTCTCAGGAACGATGCTGGGTGAGCTAATGGCAGGGAAGTAATCTGGGAGAGTGGTGTTCTCTCCTGAACTGGCATCACTGATGAAGGCAGTGATGAATCACGCGTGTTGACATTTCAGCTCTCACCCAGTATTTGTTATTTATTTGTCCTTTATGAAAAGAACATATTGGTGACTGAAGGAGCATCTTCCCGAGCAGACTGGGAGCTCTGCAGGGCGAGGGCTGGGCTGGCTGTCAGCTTGGCTGTTTGGCTGGGGAGGGGTTTGTTGTTAGAGATCTTTCGTACTCGTCATTTCGGAGTCTTGGAGCAACTTGTTGCTCGTTAGTTTGTCCTTAATGAGGAAGGACGGAGTGGTGTGTCCCGAGTGGAGGTCCCGGGGTGGATGAATGACCCTTTCTTGCACCACAAGCAGTGCCATTCACGGAGCCCCGTTGCACAGAAGTTCCTGAGGAGTCATCTGATGAGCGTTTGTGACCCTGTTGTGCCGATCAAAGCCGGGCGGGCTCAAAGCTGTATTTGTTCCTCGCTGAGCTGGGAGGGTGTGCAAATACCAAATGTGTGGCTGCCCTTATCCCGGCCTTCCCAGAGCCTGGAAGGATGGAGACCAGCTTTCTTGCTGCTCTTTCCTGCAGTTTTTTATAATCTGTCAATATATAACAATTTCTTGTAGAGTCAGTTGCACGGGAGACAGCAGAGATCTGGTCATCACCAGGAGTTATTTGTCTTTACATCCGGTTTTCCATATGTTCTGGTTTGTTGTTTTTTTTGCCATTGGAACAACTCACTTGGTTTTCAGAGCTCAGTGACACTTTGCTGAGTGTGAAATTATAGATTTTCAGTCTATGATACTTAAACCCTGAAGCTTGTATCATATCACTACTGAAAGTCAGTAGTTGAGCTGCATCTTTCACCCTATTCCATAGGGAATGTTTTTAAGATTAAAATACACAATAGCTTGAGTTGAGGTAAAATTCCCAAGTAACAGTGAATAGGGTAAATGTGTTGTTTTTTGCCAGGTTCTTCACTTTATTGGTGAATATTTAATTGTCTTATTTTTACTTACATCAGCTTTAATTGCTAATTATGGTTGCATTGTAGTGATCTCAAATTTGAGATTTTTAATGATCTCATTAATGAAAGAAGTATTTTGGGTAGGT